CATCATACAGATAATAATACCCAAGAAAAGCTGCAACGACAGAAGGAAAGAGAATGAAGTTTATTAATAATCTAATATATGATCTCCACACACAGAGAGAGAGAGAGAGAGACCACAAGTGCATGGAAACATACCTGCAATGTGGGCTTGAAAGTGAAAAGGTACACAGATAAAACCATTGTCAGCAGCATTGCCATTGAGGTGGAATACACCTGCAAGAAGCAAAAAAATGAACAGAGGAAGTTAAAAGGACCAAAAACAAAGTCAGGCCTGCAGTCAGTAGTACTGGATTTGAAAGCAAAGAATGAACACGGGTAAAAGGAATGACTAAATTGATGCTAAACCCTATATTTCACCTGACCACACAGATCGCTTACCACTAAAATGAAATTTTGAAAAAAATGATAATTACAATAATACCTATTACAAGAGAACCATGTATATAAGTCCGAAGTTCAAATAATTACCTTCACAATATTGTCAGCATACTTCATCAACCATGAAACAAGTAAGCCAGTAGATCCAAGATTTAACACTACCAACCAAGTTGTAAGATTATATCCATTGAAAAGGCGTTGCCACCAAGGTCCATTCTCAAATCCACCCCTGAAATCATCGAAGAGAAGCCGTGCTATGTTGAAAATCACACCAAACCTGTAAAGGATTGCCATTACACCAACATAGTGGGATTGTTAGAAAACAGACAGTTAATCGTGCTAGGACAGTAAATAAAACTCATACAAACATCTCAAACAATGAAAATTTTATCTGCTGAACTATCACAAGACAAGACACTGTAATGAATTAAAAAATTATGCCACATTTTCTATATCCTAAAAAGAGCATAAATAGGACTACATTCTTAGTTGTACTATATAAAAAAAATTAAGAAAAGATATATAACCTAATAAAATCAAATTGAAAAATGCCTTGATGAGCTTTGAAACAGTAACCAGTCATACTGTAAAAGTAGTAAATAGCATGTTGACGTTAGTCATAGAAAGCAAGGCATGGTGTGGGGAAAAGATACCTACGTATACAATTGTACATTCTGCCAGTACAAGCTATCATTGTTCTTCTTCATCAGAAACTCTGTGTAAACACCTGCTAATGCTGACATACAAGCGGATAGGATACCCAGCATATATCCTTGGATTGGTGCTGAGAACATAGAATCACAGGACGCTTCTCCACAACCTTTAACCTATAAGATTAAAAGTAAATCAATAAATAAATGATTGTTTGTTCTAATACACGATATTTTATCAATAACTTGAGCATATTAAAATTGCATCATTTAAGAAATTCCTGAATCAGAACTTTTTTGTCAGCCAATAGAAAGCAAGAACATATGTTATGCATACTGATTTATTATCACCTGGCTTGTGGTTGTTCCAACAGCTAATAAAACAATTGCTATCCATTGCAGATTAGACAGCTTTCTTCTCAGGAATAGCCTGAGGCATCACATAAAACATATCAACCGACCAATTAATAATGAAGATATAACTGGACATAGTAAAATTCCACATAGATTTTTTTT